CAGCCTCGACCTGCTGGGCTCCGGTGATCCTTCCGCCTCAGCCTTTCGAGTAGCTGGAATTACAGGCGTGCGCTACCACGCCCGGCTAATTTTTTATTTTATTTTATTTACTGTAGAGATGAGGTCTCGCCTTCCGCAGGTCAAGGTTGGGTGACCGTGAGTGTGCCACTGCACTCCAGCCTGGGCAACAAGAGTGGACTCCAACTCGAAAAAAAAAAAAAGAATACACTGCTAAAGAAGAATGAAAAAAAATTAACTCAGATTCTGTTTGAACAAGTTTTTCTGTCAATATCAAATTGTACCAGTGTCATAAAACTATATCAAAATGAAAGCCTAAAGCTAAAAATCTAGAATAGTTGGCAGGGCTGGTTTTTCGTTTTTTTTTTTTTTTTTTTGGTCCCCTTCACTGTCTATTTACTAACAAGTAAATATTCATCAAACAGATATTCAAACAAATTGAAGATTTTACATAGGGATGAGGGTGAGACATGGTATTTGTATCAAAGGGAATTTTATTTTTAAAAATTTCATTATGAGGAATTTCAAATATACACAAACAGAAAAGTGAAAAAAAAATAGTAAAGAGAATACTCACATGCTCGCATGCATTCAACAATTAACATTTTATATTTATTTATATTTTTCCTGAATCATTTAAAAATAAAATTATAGACATGACACTTTACCCTCAAATATTTCAGCACAAAGACATCTTCATATATAATACTGTTAACATATGTGACAAATGAATAATTTCCAAATCTCATCTAAAATCTGGTTTATGTTAAAATTTCTCCAATTATTCCAATGTTGTCTTTTAGAAGTTGTTTGTTCAAACCAGGATTCAATTATGGGCTATGCATCATTTTACTGGGTTTCTTTAGTTTCTCTTAATCTAGAATAATCTCTCTTATCTCTAACCTTCATTTTTTCCTGATTTTGATCTAAAAAGACCCTCCAGTTGTCTTGAGAATAACCATTATTAGGAATCTGATGGCTTTTTGCCCTATCATGTATCTACACTCTTGCTTTCTATCTCCTGTATTTACCAAAAACCAAAAGTTAGACCCAAACATTTGGTAAGAATCAAGTTAAACATTTTTGGCAAAAATATTTCAGAGGTGATGCTGTGTACTTGATAGTGTATTAAATCCATCTGTCCCACTATTTTTTTTAAAAAAAATTTGTTTTCTCTTTTTTTTAAGAGATGTAGTCTCGCTAAGATGCCTAGGCTAGTCTCAAACCCCTGGACTCAGGCAATCCTCTCGCCTCTGACTCCCAAAGTGTTGGGAATACAGGCATGAGCCACCACACTTGGTTGTCCTACTATTAATGGTGCTAAATTTGATCACTTGGTTACGATGTTTTCCCTTTGCCCCAAACAACTGTGTGATATATGGTACCAGGTGAATGTGTTCCTTTCACATAGGGTTTTTTGCATCCAATGATTTTTCCTAATTCAATCTTTCAAATAAGAGTAATTTGAGTTTCAGCATGGCAACACTTGGTTTTCACTGTGGTAAAATAAAAAGGCTTTGAGACTTTGCAAATTATTCTTTAAATTTGGAGTGAGTACTGAAGAGGACAGCTTCCTGAGGAGATCCACTCCTTTATACTGGAGGCTGTAAAAGACCCCTGTCCTGCAGTCTGAATGCCAGAGTAATCTATAGGAGAAATATGGGTTTCAGGGGGATACAGAAACAAAGTGAATATTCACGTGTTGATTCAAGTTCATACATTTACACTTTGAAGTACAGTGTTGGGTGAATTGCCTGGATATGTATTCTTCTGCTGGTCTACTCTTTTCAGAAAAAACTTAATCAGCTGTTGGTTTTATAATTGAATGCAGATTATATGATGAGCCTTTGCCACCTCTAGTAGCCAATAATTTGATGAGGAATATGGTCAGGGGTAAGAACAAGATTCCTTATTAGTAAGGTGTAGTAATGCGCACCCGTAGTCCCAGCTACTTGTGAGACTGAGGCAGAAGTATCACTTGAACCCAGGAGTTTGAGGCTGTGAGCTATGATCACACCACTGCACTCCAGTCTGGGTGACAGTGTTGAGACCTTGTCTCTTAAAACAAACAAATAAACGAAACACAACAAAACTTGAGAGATATAAATATATACACTAAAACCGAAGGGTAATTTAAGTTTTAAATTACGTTTTGGGAATAGCAGTAAAATGAAATCAGTGACTGACAAAACAGGGTTGTTAATTTTTATATCGCTGGTATACTCCAGCTTAGTTAATATGCTGGGAATAGCTCATGATTAGTAACACTGTGTTCTATCTGCCAAGCAAGAAGTAACTCTGACATCCCTGACTGGCAACCGGCTTTAAGGCACATTTAAACTCCAGGAAGTACAGTGCTGAGCACCAGATAGGCCAAAGCCTCCATTCAATTCATTAGCAGTCTCTTTTGCTAAGTGGTATCTAGTTCTTTTGAATGTTTAAATGACACGATTCCAGAGAATGAGGACCCATATCAGGACGTATGTGACCTAAATAAGCTGCTAAGACACACATATCTCCCATTTCACCAGAAAAATAAATTAACTAATCTTTTGAGTCTGTTAACAAACAGTCAAACAATGAACACTGCCATGTTTAAAACTTAGGGCTGGTAAGATGAAACAAATTCAGAACAGAATGATAGACAAGAAAGCTTTAAAAAACCTTTCCCAACATCCTTAGCACTTAAGGCTCAGAGAGAGCTTTTCACAGACCCTTGAACTAGATCACACAGCTCAAATGAACCACACAAAGCCAGTGAAAGCATGCCAGGGCAGACAAAAACCTAAATCATCCCAGCAGAATCCTACATACCCTGAAGACTGTACAGATTCATCTTTGGACATGAGAGTGACCCAGCTGAGATCTGACACACTCACCATCTTCAAGGCTGGCATGAACTCATCTATAACTATTCAACTCTTCAAAGAGTATGAGCATCTCAGCTATTATAAGAATTATAAGGACACTGAAACTCCCCTCCACAATCCCTATAGATGAACTACTTAACAATGCAAAACCACCTGGGTCTTTACCCCGACTTCTGAAGAGGTGTCATAGCTGTCAGCACTCAAAAGGACAAAACTAACCAGAAGCATAGCTGCCACGACTGCTAAGCAGAGAGATGACCCACACAGATTTAAAGAAACACAGTGACACTTTAAAACATACCACTATGATATAGACTTGAGAAAAGTGAGACTGGTTATCCTAGTTATCATAGCAGCCCTCCCTTCCCTATTGTGGGGAGGTCCTGGTCTGATCCTTCTGCGTCTGCCACTAAACAGCACTGTGCCCTGCACTCTCCTAGAGTCAGGGCATGAGAGCTTCGGGCAAAGCAGCTTTCTGGGGTCATCTGAGGCACACATCAGTCCCAGGTTTTTTGTTTTTTTTTTGAGTTGGAGTCTCTCTCTGTTGCCCAGGCTGGAGTGCAGTGGCACGCTCCCAGTCACTGAAGCCTCAACCTGCTGGGCTTCGGCGATCCTTCCACCTCAGCCTTCCAAGTAGCTGGAACTACTGGCGCATGCTACCACACCCGGTTAATTTTTGATTTTTTGTAGAGACGAGATCTCTCCAAGTTGCCTGGGCAGGTCTCGAACCTGCAGGCTCAGACAATCCACTTGCGTTGGCCTCCCAAAGTGCTGGGATTACAGGCTGAGTCACTGAGCCCGGCCTGGTCCCAGCTTTAAAGAATAAAGCAACTCCTTTTTCAGCCAAGGCAATACATATATTCAGTTGCCACCGTCATTTCCCTTTCTTGCCAAGCATCCTGGAGGTGATGGTGACAGGAAGGAGGATGGAGCCATCCCTTAAAGTCTGAGGTAGCAAATTAGCTCCACAAAGAGGAGAGGATGTCAAGTCTCTGAAGTGGGGAGGGGGAAAGCACATGAGTGTGGAGGAGGACAGATCTGTAGCACTGGGCTGCCACAGGCAGAGCAGAGCACACTGCAGGGAGTTTCTGGGTGGGTCCTCTAAGCACCCATGTGTCCTTCAGGGTTGTTTTTATCAGCTTGGGACACTGCAATTCAGCAGCAGTTGTGAACAAGTTACCGGGCATCTTCCGTACCTCTTTCTTCCTGTCTCCCCAACCTTTCCTCCCAACACTCCAATTACTTATTCTCCTTTAGTCACTGTGCCAGCCCATGTCCTCTACCAAACTGTTATCATATAAATATATAAGCAGGTCACACAATTTAAAACAAAGTGACACTACACAGATAACAGCCATATTTATCACCTTCCAAGATTTAATTAATGGTATCTTATTTGGTCAAAAGGTAAAAACTCTTCTTCAGATCCCCAATTTTTTTTTTTCTTTTTTGAGTTGGAGTCTCACTCTGTCGCCCAGACTGGAGTGTAGTGGCCGCT